GAGCATCTTGATTTAAGAGAGCCACGCCTGAACAGGGACTTGAACCCTGGACCCTCAGATTAAAAGTCTGATGCTCTACCAACTGAGCTATCCAGGCTCTTTTTTCTTAAAAAGCCAGTTTCTCACCATTGTGTTTTTCCACCCATCCATGAGAGCAGCTTTCCTTACTGGATACAGACGCCCCAGCTGGGAATCAAACCTGCGACTCCTGCTCCAAAGCCATGTAGTCTTACCACTACGCTATCCAGCTCTCTATCCAGGACCTTGAGACTCCAGGAGACTCCAAGGAATACCCTTGCTGTACAGTGATATCTAGTTGGCACCACTCCATCTACTGAACTAGCTTGGGCTCCTTTCCTACCAAAGATGGGAAGTTCCGGACTCCTCGGACCAGTCTACACATCGGAAGTAGGTTCTATCAAGCCTATTTTATTTATTTTTTGCCTTTGGCTGCCTGTCTGGTTATAAAGCAAAGTGGGTCTCCTATTGGTTGGTGGATCCATGGGCTAAGGCTTGATCCAGAAGTTCCCCTTCCAGGTTTGGCTCCAGAAAAGGTACCTGGGGCCCCTTTTCCAGCTGCTCAATCATTTCAGTAACGTCTCAAAAAGCTTAGTCTATCCTCTCGCTGGGATCAGTTTGCCTCAAGTAAGATCTGCTGATTACTGTTTATAAATGTATTTAATAATTACAAGTCTTTTAATTCAGAGTTTTATTTTAGCAAATTTTCACCACAGTAACGTTACTTCATGCAATACTTTACAAAAGAAAAAAGGGGTATAAGAAGCATTTTGTGTCTCTCCTGTCACATTTACAGTTTGTTTGTTTGTTTTTTTATTAAACCAATACTAAAAAAAAAGAAGACAACTTATAGTATCACCAAATACCAAATCTGCTCTTTTACCTGAACAGCTTTGGTGACATCTTATCCCCCCTGCCCCCCCATAACAGTCCAAACATATCGCAGAATAACTAACTGTTCAATGAAAGGGTACAGTTTTCCATTTTCGCACCATGCAACTAGAAAAACTGTTTTGAATTTTTTTAGTAGTTATTTGATAATATTAGCAGATAAATTTTGACAGACCATAAAAAGTGTGCATTTAGATTACTTCCTAATAATGGGGGTAGGCTAAAGTTGACTACTACTGTACAGCTTGTTGGGAATCATGGGAAAACATGAAAAAAAAAAAGACTTACGTTTTTATGAGAGGTCACAACATCATGGCCACTTTAAGGTAATTTTTGTAGAAACACATTAAAAGCTTCTAAAATTAAAGCTAAAAGAATTGGACGAACAGAAAAACAGCTACGGCATAATGTCCAAGTCGTCTTTGTAGTGTTTAAACAAGGCAGTACTTTAATGTAATACCACTTTGAACCACAAAGTGATGCAGTAAGCCAGTGTAGCATCCTGCTAACACGAGCTATTTCAATGTTATTTAAGCTAGTCTTAGCTCATTTGTGTTGGGGG